CGATCCTGTGATAAAAACATTTTCCCCACTATGACTTCCTATAATGACATTTGCTTCTATTTAATTAACTAGTTCAAATTTCTTAATAGCATGACCAAATCTCCAATCTTTAGTTAAAGCTCATGGTTTGGTAATCTACTGAACTTTAGATTGTTCAAGAATTTTGTAGGATACATGCTACTTTCAAAAGATTTAGAATCCAATGCATCAATTGTGTCAACACTACAGTATGTGTGAATGTCTCCCAGTACCAATTGTAAGATTTTAGTGTTTATTTTATTAACCTCATCATTCCTAAGAACAAGTATTACTTGTTCACATATACATGAATGATTATTAAAATTCTGAGCCAAATTTGCAAAGATGCATCTTACAAGTGATTCAATTTCTTGACAGTCATCATTTACCAGAATGTCAATAGACATAAGCATTCAACTTTCATCTACATCTATTATAGGATAAATACTTGGTATATTGCCCACACAAATGTCAAACACCCATTTTGTAAATAGCCCATACTCAGTTGAATTGGGAGATGGATTCTTAATAACCTCATGTTGGTTTGTAATGTTAAGATTTGACAATCATGCCACAATTCTGATCTTTGTATTAATGCGGAAACTATGTCTATATAACATCCTTTCAAGACAATGGGCAATATTTACTTGGAATCTTCGCCAATGACAACTATTTTTCCACCAAAAGGATAATGGATTGCATTTTCATCAATTGTTTTTATCAAATCCCTCAATGTGTGGTCCAAGTTTTCGAAAGCATATTGATGTGCCATTAGTGCTTCATCCCAAATTATTCAATGGCTTTTCTTTAGCAATTTTTCTATATTAGACTTTTGGTTAGCTAATTACACAAGTTGATGTTTCATTCAAGTCAATAGGGATTTTAAATCGCAAATGTGTTGTCCTACTACCTGGTAATAACAAAGAGTTAATTCCTAATGTTGCAATTGCAAACACAATCTTTCGATCGGCCCAAAGTTTTTATATAATTGTATTCCAAAGAAACGTTTTTCTAGTCCTCCCCACTGCCACAAACAAAGTAAAATCCACCTAAATTCGTGACATAAAAATGTAATATAGTCTCATATACTAACCATTCTTCAGCATTCAATTGGGTACATTTGTTGAAATTGTATCAATGCAGCTTAAGGGTCATAGTTTAACTCCTCCCAAATAAGGCAACTTCTAGGTATATATACAAAATGTCCACTTGGAAATGGCATGCCAAGATAATCCTTAAGAGATTTTCCATTTCTATTGATAATAAATATCATACCCCTTATAGTTAGGCCTGTAAACAGTATTTGGAAAATTGAATTTGAATTCAAGATCCGAAATAAACGAATTTAATTCGGATATTTGAATTGAATGAGCGGTCAAATTCGAATATATTTTTTATACCGATTAGTTAGTTGAATCGAATATGGATATAACATGATTTGACTAATTCGATTACAATATTATAAATATATGAATTATATATTTATTTCACAATATCTGCGATGATTCATAAATATTGATTTCTTATAAAGAAATATATTAAGAAATACAATGCATAATGACTTTCGGTAAAATCACTCAATATAATATTATTTTAATAATAAAAAGTGAGTGAAAAGACAATGAAGACAGAAGCTATCATTACCTTTTGAAATAAAAATTGATTTTTTAATATTTTGCAGGAGAAGCCCGCTTACAACCTATCAGCCCTATCCTTTAACTTTACCTTTTCAGTTCACTATTTTCACATCGTCTTCATCCTTTCCTCATCATCTTCATCTAATCATCTCCATCCTCTCCTAGCGTTTCCATTCTTCCTAGTTGCAGACTTTAGCTTCTCCGTTCTTTCCAGTTGCAAATTTCCCCTCAACATCTCTGATGTTCTTCCCGGTTGCAGACTTTCTACTCAGTGTTTTTGTTCCCCGATTGCAAGCTTCCCCTTAGCATCTTCAATGTTCTTCTCGGTTGTAGACTTTCTCCTCAGCGTCTTTGTTCTTCCCGGTTGCAGACTTTCCCCTCAGCGTCTTCGATGCTCTTCCCGGTTGTAGAATGGCATCCCTTTCTCTTGGCCTCCTTCATTTGGCAAGCACGAGATTGAGAATGGATCTTGGTTGGCTTCCTAATGATAAAACCATCTTTCACCAACTTCTTGATATTCTACTAGGAGTTGGGCATGGAGATTTCGTTGACCTCATTAGGATCAAGGCAAACCTTGCCCCTCCCACATTTCAGAATGCTAGTGGCGAGCCGCTTCTGTAGCTTAAACGACACTATTCGTGTCTTCCTTTCTGGCCGACTTGCTGTTGTGAGACAAGCTATGGCTAGCTATAGAGCTCTAAACAAGATGATTCTGGGTAGCATCCAAATGTTGTTTGGAGTTGAGAATCTATTGTCCTTATCGAGAGCAAACTCCCCCCCCCCCCCAACCACTGTCCACCTCATCCAACCAAACTATGGTCGTCGATGAGATGATCAAAATCCCCTTCATGTGTAATTGTGTTGGTTATTTTGGACTATCAAAATTCACTTATTTAGTATATACTAATCAATGAAGAAGTACATTTAGTACTTACTTGCTCATATGATCCAAAGATTTATGATAAGTCATGATTGAATTAGTCACAACATTTGTAGATGCCATTTAGCAACCACCATAACTCCTTTATTGATCTTCACCTGGAGTTTATCTCCAAAAAATTTATATTTGTCTTCATCAAATGTTCTTAGTGACAAGAAACTATTTTGCAATTCTAGAACATGTCATACTCCAAGGACCGTACAAGTGATGCTGTCAAGCATAGTAATTATGACATTTCAAATTCCTACTATTTTACATGTTTTGTTGTTGCCCATATGAATTGTTTGACCATCGCATGATTGGTATGTGTAGAATCAATCTCTACATGATGTCATATGGAAAGAGGCACCAGAATCCAATATCCAGTTATGTTTTAAGCTTTCACATAGATCAATAGACAACACCTCATTTCCTTTTGATGTCATTTCCTTCTGTGATCTTTCATTAGGAATTCTTTGAATCTATATCTTGGTCGAAGTTAGGCCAGCTTTGGATTGCCTACAATCTTTTTGAATGTGATATTTCTTGCCACAATTTCAACACTTGAGCCTCTTCTTTTTGCCCATTGACTTGGATCTTGTCTTATTTTTGCTAATGTTGTTTATTTTACTAGTACCTCATACCATAATAATATCATCAGAAGAATTCTCACTAGCTTTTGTACGAGATTCTTCTGTAAGCAACAAAGAAACAATAGATTCTGAGGACAAATCTTTTGTATTTCTTGYGTTCATTAATTCTCACTAGCTTTTGTACGAGATTCTTYTGTAAGCAACAAAGAAACAATAGATTCTGAKGACAAATCTTTTGTATTTCTTGCGTTCATTAATTCTCACTAGCTTTTGTACGAGATTCTTCTGTAAACAACAAAGAAACAATAGATTCTGAGGACAAATCTTTTGTATTTCTTGCGTTCATTATCAGACTATCTTAAGAATTAGACATGGAGCAAAGTAAAAGAGCAATATTTTCTTCTTCGTTAATACATACCTCAACAACTACTAATTTTCTTACCAAAGTGTTGAGCTCATTTAAGTGTTCCTACAAAGAGGCTTTGCCCTTCATTCTCAGATTGTAGAATAAGTTATCATTAGAGGACGATTTTATTAGACATCAACTTCCTTTCATTGAGATTTTGCAATTTGTCTCATAAATCCTTTGCATTGATTTAATTGGATACATTGAACAATACACAATCTTCTAAGGCAAGAAGAGTATCACCATGGCTATTTAGTTTTTTTCTCAAACACTTTATCCTAGTAGGCTTATTCTCTTTTTCTTTTAAGAAAATTGTACAATCTTCTTTCACTGGCTCACACTTTTACACCCTATAGACACAATACCTATATATGAACTAAGACACTAATACCCAGCACTTGTACATTAACAAAATATATTGAATTGTGATGATTTGAATAAAAAAATGTCCTTATTTATAATAATAAAGAGGGAAAAGAAAGAATTTTATGAAAATATTTTCAACCACATATTTCACGCCCTCCCAACTGTGAATAAAATATTTGGCCTACATTAAGGCTCCATTCGCTTTTCGGTAAGATACTTATCCAGGTAAATGTAGTTACCTTGGTAAGTTTTTTCTAGGAAACACTTACCCGGGTAAGTGCATTTTTCCACATTCTTTTATTTCTCATGTAAATAAGACAATGACCATTTTATCCATAAAAATTTGTTATTAAAAATGACATTTTTGTCTCATTCAAGTATTTGCATTTTACCCCTAGGTGAAAAAGTTATTTTAAGATTGATATCATTTACTCGGATAAATGATACCCAAAAAAATAAAATTTCCCTAATTTTCACATAAATGTAAAAAAAAAACATAAAATTCTTGATCAATAAAACCAAAATTCCAATAACCAATTTTCCTCCTCTCAAATTCCGAAAAAATAATGCCCGTAAAGGGTATGCTCTTTACCGTCTAATGTACAAAGTCGACTTTTACAGGTGGACCACCTCTTTTCGTATTTCGGTGGGCAATTAATCGGTGGAAATGTACTCTCACCTCTGCATAGTGGGATCACCGATCACATGTCGTCATTTACGAGAGAGAGAGAGTCATAGTGATGGGAAGTTACCGCCTTGCCTTCCGTTCAAAGTTTGGCAGGCGGTAAATGGTGCCTTGGGGCCACTTATAAGGGCACATTTGATATTTGCAAATGTTAATAATATGAATTATAGATGGACCATAGCCTGTAGGTGCACGTGTCAAATTTTTTTGCTTACTGTCAAAAATCAGATGAATTGACTGCTATTAACAAATAACAGGACACGCTTCGACAACTGTCAAAAACTTTAGAGGTGTCAGTTACTAAAAAATATGGGTTTTTATTGTTCAGTCCACATTCATCTTAACTCCACCGTATAAGTGGGCCATGAATCGATGCTAAATTCATTGGCAGCAATTTGTGGCGGGTGACGGCTCCCTCTGCAACAACTCCAATGGTCATCACTAGCTAGAATGTCGGCGAATTCTTTCTTCATTCCTCCCTCATCTTTGTCCACCAAGCAATTCTCACAAGGAAGTTGTCTTCACCCTGCAAGACCAGTACTGCAACATGCTCAAAAAGTCACTAAACACAACATCCAATTCCTTGTTGTTAGCTCGCAATTCTTAAATCAAGAGGTTATCAGGCGATCAGGAAACTACAAGCCAAGCAGTTGGGATTACGATGGTTTGCAATCTCTCAAGAGCGAATTCCTGGTGATTATCATGATCAGTATATAATTAATTTTCCAGGCCCAAACATTTATTCTATATATTATCACTAATTTACAGGCTTACTAATCAACAGGAAGAGGCGTTTGTGGAGCGGGCCAAGAAACTGATGGTAGACGTCAAACGCAAGCTCAATCAAGCAGCAGGAGCAGTGGATCAACTGGAGCTGATTGACACTCTTCAGAGGCTAGGGGTTGGGTATCACTTCCAAAGTGACATCAAGAGCGTTCTGGAATCCATAAAGGACACAGAGGAAGAATTATATGCCCAACAGTTTACATACAGACATCTCATCAAACAGCTCAAAGAAAAAACATTTCCAAATTATAAAAACATGGCCAGACTAGTAAGCCATGCGTTGGAGATGCCCTTGCACTGGAGGATGAAAAGGTGGGAAGCCAGATGGTTCATAGACACCTACTCCATGAAACAAGATGTGGACCCTTTGATACTTGAATTTGCTAAGCTTGACTTCAACATGGTGCAAGCTATATATCAGCAGGAATTAAAAGATGCATCAAGGTATTTATATCAATAAAAAAAATTTACATTTTTCGGTTCAAAAGCTAATATAAACCGGCTAATTAGGCATTAATTTCTTTTGCAGATGGTGGACTGACCTGGGCCTCGCCGAGGCACTAAGGTTTAGTAGAGACAGGATAGCCGAGAGTTACTTGTGGACCACTGGAGTCATATTCGAGCCACAGTTCGGATATTGTAGAAGACAACTTACGAAAGTCAATTGTTTGATCACAACAATTGATGATGTGTATGGTACTCTGGACGAACTCAAGCTTTTTACTGACACTGTTGAAAGGTTAGCAAAAATTAAAACCGCAATACCATCAATGTTTAATTTATACGAGCATATCATAGAAGATAGAATTTAATACTACATCCCAGTGTTTTCGAACCAGGCTAAAAATTGTTCATTTGATCAACGATCCGTTGATTCGAATGGTCGAATCGTGAATCGCTGATTTGTTCAATTCGAACAACAGTTTATGGCTGTTTTTTTATTTTTTAAGTTAGAACGGGCACATGATTGAACCACTGACCTCAAAATCGGTGGTCGAGCAAAAGGTTGCTTCATGTGCAGATCCCATCAGTATTCAGTAGTAGAGAGATGAAACTTTGAATTAAATTGCAAATCCTCGGTTTTGCAGATGTTTTTATTTTTATTTTTGCAGATGGGACATCAACAGGATGGGAGATCTTCCAGACTACATGAAGATGTGTTTCATGGCACTCTACAACAGTATCAATGAAATGGCTTATGATGTCTTAAAGAAAAGTGGCAGGGACATATTAAAATACTTGAAGAAAGGGGTATACTATATATATATTTAACACTTTAACTTTTGCCAATATTATAAATATCTTAGGGCCCATTTGGAAGAGTTTGTTTATTGATTGAGTTATTTATTCCGAGAAGTTATTTAAGATAGTTTCACCAGATTTAAAAACCATGAAACCTGGAACCAAACAATTTTGGCCACCGGTTTTTGGGTTGATGATTTGATCATCTGGTTCAAATGGACAGTCTGTTTTGACAAAAAATTAAAAATTTTAAAATAAAAAAAAATAGCCTAAAACCATTGAACGGGGTTGAATGGGTTGACGGTTCGATCATCCAGATCAACTGTTGTTGATTAATTTTATAGTTTTTTGTCATAATCAAGTTTGGGGTAAAACGAAACTAGTTGTCTGGATGATTTTCAAGCTGAATGGTCGGACCGTCCAGATCAATAATAGTTCAAAAACATTGCCAAAAAATAATTTCAATTTTTTTAGCAAACATAGTTTCGGGACTTTCCAGATTTCTCAGCACATATAACACTAGAAGTCGCATCTAATTCCCTTTTATCCATCAAACGCAGGATATTTGTTCAGAAAGGTGTCATTTAATATATCTCATAGAAGCTTATGCTTTTAAATGGTTCGTTGGGAGGTTTTTATTCTATAACATATACAAAGTGCTATTGACTCACAGAAGAGGGACATGAGAACATATCAATAGTGAGAATTCGCTTTCCTCAATTCTTGTGATTTTCTCCATTTCCTCAATTCTTGTGAGAATTCGCTTTGAATGAGTTGGGGATGGAGATGATTTTTTCCCTACGGGGATGGGGATGGGGAAATTTTTATCCCCGTTGCTGGGGATGGGGAGGAGATGGGAAAAGTATTCTTCGCCCCGTTGGATCTCCGTTAATATATGTATATATGTACTTATATTATATATCTATAAATACATCTATATATTAATATTTTTAAAAATATGGTTGAATATGTTTGAATATTTTCTAATATGATTATAATTTTTAATTATTTTATTTTTATTTTTTAAATAAAATAAAAACAAAAACAAAAATAGTTGATATTATAAAAAATCATGGGGACCCGTTGGGATGGGGAGAGGCTCCCATCCCCGCCCCACCCCGATGCCATTCTTAGTCATGGTCAGCCTTCAGATCATTAATTAGACAATGTAATTTGATATTAAAATTTGCGCACAACTAAATCAATGTGTTTTATTGTATTTCCTATTCTTACAATATACAATAAGTTTGATTTGAATATATTGATTAACAAAAATAGGTCAAAACTATTAGTTGTAGAACATTGCTTGAGCTGGGATGCTTACATTGGTATCCATCACTGTACATTGTGGATACCTCCGGTTCAGGTATGTTAAATTTATAGGAAGATATTCCCAATATGTGACTGGATGTCCCTGTTTGCAGAAGATTCTGTGCATTTTTTTCACATGTAGTGTGGTTATTGTTGCTATTTAAAAACATTCTCATATAGATTTCTTTTACTTTTGGTGAGATAGATAGATAGATAAATAGATAGTACTGATTTTTTTTCTCCTCCTATAAGTGGTTGGATTTATGCAAAGCATACTTGGTAGAGGCACAGTGATACAACAATGGATACAAAGCGACCCTTGAGGAGTATATGAACAATGCATGGATATCAATATCTACACCTACTTCCTTTGTTCATATTTATTTTTGCACAGAAGATAAGATAAAAGAGGAAGCATTGGAGCAACTAGATAAAGATCGTCGGCTGCTTTGCTTCGATATAGCAATGACCTTGCTATTTCTTTAGAGTAAATTTATTTTGTATATAATATTCATTCATGTAGGATGAGCTGAAGAGAGGAGATGTTCCAAAATCAATCCAATGTTATATGCGTGAGACTGGAGCTCCTGAGGAAATTGCCCGTGAACACATTCGGGGTCTCCGTGCTAAAGAATGGAAGAAGATGAACAAATGTATGCCTGCTCCTTCTCCTTTCCCTCGAGCATTTAAAGATAGTGCAATTGACCTGGGACGAATGGCCCAATTCATGTACCAGCACGGAGATGGGCATGGAGTACTTGCAGATTGCTTGACTAGGAACAACATTATGTCATTGTTAGTTAATCCCATTCCCCTTGATAAATTGTAGTAAATCTAGTTCAGTATGGCTTACACTTGATGCTTGGGAAAAGTAGTAAGGATTGTATATATAGATTTAATGCTTATGGATGATGTTTTTATATATATTATTTGTTTAATTTGTCACTAGTTACAATGGTTATTTAGTTAGGACACAAAATACAATCCTTGTATACCCGTTTTCCCTTTCTTCTCAGCCCAAAGTACAAAACAAGATAAAAAATCCACTCTCACACCAAGAGCACTATATATTTTTCTCTCATACAAAAGAAAGCTTTTATATGTAAAACTTAAAGAGGGATCACACCAACCATTAAATTAAAATTAATTCAGTGGTTGTAAACTTTTATTATGCTTTCTTTCTTTTCTTTTTTTTTTTTTTTTTGTAAGAAGCTAGCTTTCATTAAAACAACAAAAGCAGGAGCAGACAACAACATAGAACACAGAAAAGAAAATATTACACAACAAGAGAGAAAATAAAATAAAAATAAACAGATCCAAAACACTACAGTCATCCTTCACAGTCTTCACGAAGCATCTCATCCAACCAAGAGGGCGGATCACCAACTAACACGTCTGATGTAAGCAGACCTTTCTGCATAGCTAGATGAGCAACCCGATTTGTAGTCCTACGAACTTTGCTAAAAGAAACCTGTAGATTTTTGCTTAGAGCTAAGATATCCAACATTAGAAAGTGCAAGTCCAAGAGGCTACCAGAGTTTGAGTTCAAAATACAGTCAATTAACAGGCAACAATCACTTTCAATAACAACATTAGAGTAGTTTAGATAAATTGCTAGCGTGACTGCTTCAAAAACAACAATTGCTTCAGCTTAAGCTGGAGATGAGGCATGGCAAGGACCAAAAGGGACTTCTAGACACCAACCTAAGATATTTCTGGCTTGCACCCCAAAGGTAGCTCTACTACTTTTGGCAAACATTGCATCTGAATTTAAATTTATGCAACCAACATCTGGAAGCTTCCAAAAAGAGAGTAGAGAGAGCTCATTAGAAGGGTGCATTCCTCGTATAACCTCCTTTTGAAGATTCTTCATCTCCCCCACTTTCCTGTGAATCAAAGACAACACATTGGAGTTATCAGGATCTGCAAATTTTTTTTTTTTGTTCCTTGAGAGCTAGATGTTCCATAGAATGACAATTGAATGCATAATCAAGTCAGCTCTCTCTTCCTTGCCTCGCTCATTACAGAATGCCAACCATTCTATAAATCATCTACTAAAGGAGAGAACCAGATTTAAAAGCAAGGTTTTTAAAGAAAGGGGGCTCCAAACCAAATGCTATAGGCATGGTCACAAAAGAACAAACAATGCATAAAACTTAGTCTCTTTTTTATAGAGATCACAAATAGAAGTATTGCTAACATGTCTTTTTAGCAGATTTCTTTGACAAGGATGGCATTTAAACAACAACGCTAGAGGAATTTTTTTATTTTTAGTTGAACCTGCACTTACCAGATGCCCTTCCAGACATTCTTCCTAATTTCCCTATTATCATTCCTCTGATTGCTACAAGAATCCTAACTTTTTGCAATGTAGTAAGCAGATTTAACTGTGAAATTTTCCATGATTTCAGGAAGCCAAAAGAGCTTGTCTTCCCAAGTATTATTAGTTAGCCTTATTTCAAGAACCTTCTATGCTACTTCATGAAGGAGATTATCATGGATGATTTGGACATTCCATTGATTTCTAGAAGCTGAGATCAAATCTCTAACCTTTGTTATTTGGAGGTTACTTGGCTTGGGGCCAAAAATTCTGTTACCCTGAAGACCTGGAACCCAGGGAGAGTTCCAAATATCAACCTTCTCTCCATTCCCTATTCCCCAACAAACGCCCTCCAAAAGATTACTTCTACTAACAATTAGGCTCTTCCATCGCCAAGATCCTTGTGAAGGCAGTGTTGAGAGCTTAGGAAACATCTATCTATAACGTATCTTGCTTTTATTAGTCTAACCCATAAATTAGACGGATCAAACATAAACCTCTACTTCAACTTGGCTAACAAGGCTTTATTAAACTCTAAAGGATCACGAAACCCCAAACCCCCATTCAACTTATTTTTGCTCATTTGGTCCCAACTAATCCAACATGTTTTCCTCTTCCCATCCACTTCCCATTTTTTTTTCTAGGTTTGCTTCAATTCACTACAGACCTTCTTTGGGAGCAGAAAACAGGACATATGGTGGGATGGAATGGCAGTCATTACTGATTTTAGCATAACTTATTTTCTAACTTGAGAAAGTAGAAGGTCATTCCACTTGCTAGTTCACTTGTAGGCTCTCTCTACTAAGAACTTGAATAGGCGACACTTTGACCTACCTATTTCAAGGGGAAGACCCAGGTAGGCTGAAGGTTTTTCCATTCCTTTGAGATGAAGGCTCTTGGCAAGAATTTTCTGCAATTCTTGGTGCAAGTTTGAACTGAAGATGACTTCAAACTTAGCAAAGTTTACCCTTTGACCCAAGGTTCTCTCATACAGGTTAATTACATCCATGACCATAATTCTCTTCCCTTCTTCTAAATTTGCAAAAGTGAAAATGAAACTATCATCCACGAAGAAAAGGAGAGAGATGGTGGGACACTCTCTATTTAGTTTTACCCCAGATAATAGTTTCTCATTGACTAGTTTATTCAGAATTGAAGATAGGACATTTGAACACAATAGGAACAAATAAGGAGAGATTGGATCCCCTTGTTTAAGTCCCCTTGTTGGAATCACTCTTCTAGTAGTAGTTCCATTTACCAGAACTTGATAAGTCATAGAAGTTAGACACTTCATGATCCAACTGGTCCATTAATCTCCAAATCCCAATTTTTCTAGAACTCTCTTCACAAATACCCATTCCACCCTATGATAGGCTTTACTCCTGTCCATTTTTAAAGCTATTACACCATTTTTTTGCCTTGGTTGTTTTCATGAAATGGAAGATTTTGTGGGCAGTTAGGATATTGTCACTAATATATCTCCCTTGGAGGAAAGGACTCTGGTTTGGAGAAATTAGCAGCTCAACCTTTGGCTTTAATCTATTGACCAATATCTTAGATTCGATTTTATATATTGTGTTGCACAAACTTGTTGGCCTAAAGTGACTAGCTTCCTCTAGGTGAGGGATTTTTAGGATAAGGGTTATGCAGGTAGAGTTGAAGTCATTCAGCAAGGACCCTTCATTGAAGACCTTAACAACCTTCCTAACATCTTCCCAAACTATACTCTTGAGCTTCTGATAAAATAAGTTAGGATAACCATCTTGGGCCGGAGCTTTCCTAGGCTCCATTTGGAATAGGGCCAGATTTATTTCCTCGTCAGTGACTTCTTTCTCCAGATCTTCTACATCTTCATTAGAAATGGAGCAACTCACGACTTCCTCAATATCAGAAGGATTGGAAGATGAAAAAAGGCCCTCAAAGTATTCAGCAATGACTTTTGAAACATCTTGGTGACCCTCAACCTAATTTCCATTAGTCTTTAATCTTTAAAATCCTGTTACCAACTCTTCTCCTTAGGGTAGTTTGGTAGAAGAAATTGGTATTTTTATCTCCCCACTTGAACCACTTGATTTTAGATTTTTGGGCCCACAAGATCTCTTCCCATTTCCTATACTCATCAAGTTCCTTTTCAATTTTTGTGATTTCAATGGGATTAAACTCACTTGGCTTTAGATTTCAATTCTGAAAGAAGCCTATCTTTCAGTTCTTGGATTTTCCTTTGAGCACTACCAAAGACTTCCTTATTCCATTGTCGGAGCATTCTGTGCAAAACACTATCTTTTCTTTTTAAGCTTAGTTGATTATCTCCACTTTCATTTTCCATCCACACTTCCTTAATCGCCCTTAAACAATCATCATGATCTAGCCACATCTCTTCAAATCTAAAGGGGCAACCTTTTTTTACAAGTGGCAGCTTCCAAATGAAAAAAGTGTTTGGCAATGCACCTTTCCGTATGGGGAGCCAAACAAAAAAAAAAAAAAAAAAGAAAAGAGGAGTTCCTTGACTGTTGGAAAGATCTGGCCAATGTTGTCTTAGGCCCTTGGATATGTATCAGTGACCTAAACACGATCTTTGATATCAATGAAAAAGTAGGTGGAAAAATGCCGAACAGGAAAGTGCTTTACAGAAATAGAGAATTTGTGGAGGAGTTGGGCCTTGAGGAGATTAAAAGTTTTGGACCAAAATTTACTTGGTCAACACAAGAGAGGAGGGGGTGGTCATGTTAAGGAAGTTCTAGATTGAGGGCTGTGTAATGCGGAGTGGAGAAGCTGGTTTAGGGAAGCATGGATCAGCCATATTTGCTCTAGTGGCTCTGATAATTTACCTATAATTTTATTATGCTTGAGCCAATATTTTGATCTCCTTGTTAAATATTTCCTCTTCAGGAATGAAGACTGGTTACTGGTTAGAGATGCAACTTGGGTTGAGCATTTGTTAAAGGGTCCCAGATCTAACCCAAGTCAATTGTACTAGAAGATGTTCTTGTACTAAGGTAGCCAAACTTGCAATAATGCTAGTAAACAAGGAGTTTATACAAGTAATCTTTGTATTCACCATGTAGACATGGTAGGACTCTTGACAAGATAAATGGAAGTCATAGTTACAAATTGAACCAGGTATAAAATGTGTTTCCAATTCATATTTGCACTGCAAATAAACACTATCTAAGAAATAAAAAACTTTGAGGCATTAATTAGTTTTCCCTACTAAGAATTGCAATTGATCGAACATTAGTTCTAACAAGATCAACATTCAATGTCTCAAGGCATACTAAATTAATGGCCAATTCCGTTTGCAATTAATGCAATTTGAATCAATCAAAAGAAGATTTAGATCCCCCCAAAAAAATGGGGCTACAAATTAGGTAGATTTTGACTACATGGAGTAGTTAGGGATTGTTAGAAGTTAAACAAATTTTCAGCCACAACCGACTCATATATGTGCTATTTGCACATATTTAGAAGTCATAAAAGAAATATATCAAGTGGTATTACTATTAACATCCCAGCTACAATCTTCCATATTTGAATTTAAAATAATAATTTAACAATGAATATTGATGAAGGAAGATTTGACCCGACCTCGTAA